TACGATAGCCCGCAGCTATCGTTACGTCTGCGACATTCTATTCCCTTTTATACTTACCAGGATTTTATCGCCGACGTAAACCCTTCTCTCCGTTATCGTGTTTCCGCGCAAACGTACGGGCTTGATAAGGTCAAAAGAAACGGCAGACGACATCGCGACGCCGTTAGTCTTCAAGTCGATCGAATCCCATAGGTCGCGTAATAAAAGTATGCGAGCCACGTACAAAAGAGCTACTAAGAATCACTTGACTCTACTCGACCTCGTCGCCGACTTGGTCCAAATATCACGCGCGCGCCATGGGAAAAAAATTATTGTGCAGTATTTCTTCTTTATAACTCTCTCTATAGCGCTCTCTACTTGTGAGAATTGTCTGCGCTTTTTATATAGAATGTGTGTGATTGTTTCGATTCTTTTTCACATTTCCGTCTACAGAACGTAGTTTAAATATAGAACATTTATAGAAAATTTTTACAAAAAGAGAAGAGCCTGATTAGCTGTCGTAGCTATGTTATGTATTAATAAATGCACCCGAGACAATGGTCCAGAATCTTAGACACAACGTAACGTAATTAATGTTTGAAATTAACGATCGATGGCTGGTTCGTTGATCTTCGAATCCGAACGCAACTCTAAGAATACCGATGTACTTTAGAACGTTACTTATGGAACTACCAAGCCGGCGTAATCCGTTTTGAGGACAGAAGCATTTATTTTGAATTCTCGCCGTGCCGCTCGATATTTCCAAAGTTTCTAAACGGCTGAAGAGAAGATGATAAAAAGTCATGGAGGATATAGCCGATTCATGCGAACGCGTATGATCACGATATAGACGATGGACGAACCTGGTGCGTCCTGGCGAAAAGATCACTGAGAGGATGCACAAGCACACCAGCCAGCTTCGCGGTCCAGGTGGCCATAATGGCGGCTATCACGGCGCTAACAGGGGCCCGGTGAGGAGATGGAACAGCTTCCATGGTGGTGGTGGCGGCGGTGGCGGTGGCGGTGGCACGAGCAGTTTCAACGATGGCGTTGGGAACGGCGGCATAGTCACGAAAGCCTGTCAGGAGCCCTTCAGGGCCGTGCCTAAGGCGGTGCAAGCCCTCAGGAGCGAGTCCGTTGACAGGACTCATCGAGCTCAGCCACCGCCACCACCCGCATTTCCTAGGAGAAGATTTTCTGTGTGGTGAGTCCTCGCAGGATTACGTTGAGGAAATTTCGATTTTCAATCGCGAAAATTACTTGTTGCTTATAGCATTGTCATAATTACGATATGACAGGAGAATATATATACATATATAAATTCTCTCACATTGCATGGAAAGTTAGAAGCAAAGAAATTTATAGTAATTTTTTATTGATAGTAACTGATCGCAAGTAACTTTAATGAATTAAAATAATTATTAATAATGACAGATCCTTTAACAGTGGTATATTTCTAGCTATTGGTATATACATAAGCTATTAGGAAAGCAAGCGTTATTTGCATAATCTCATTTGCGTATAATTTAAAGTCATTCTTGTTATTATATCTTGCATGATTATGAATTATCTGTTTTACATGAATGATGTGTCTGAATTACCTGTTGTTTTCATTTCTGTAAGTTGATAAGTAAGTAGTTCAAACCACAATCTCGGTTTCTATTACGAAATATAGATAACTTCTTATCTCTTTCCTTTTCTCTTTCTCTCTCTCTCTCTCTCTCTCTCTCTCAGATGTAGATACAAACCTGGTAGTTTCAAATTATTGAATGAAAATGTCTTGTGTAATTGTATACTAAATTCTAAAAAATTCCTTTCGTTTAAAATTGCTTTTAAACTCAAGATATTTTTAATCCTATATAGATATTTTTCGTATACGTGTTTACCACAGGGGTCTAGAGTTTTTCATTATAATGCTCGAGAAAATTATCGTATTTTGATTAATTTTTTCTAATTGATCGTAAATGAACTAAGAAATACGTCTCTCTATCTCTGATTCATATAAGTCTAATATCATAATAAGTATCGAAACACAGATGACTCCTCTATTTACTAATTCTATCAATAATAGAGTTTTGAAATTTCACTGAGGTCTCAAAATCAGAATGTGTCCAGAGTTAAATAAATAAAATAAGTATATTGCATTACTATATTACAAAAAGATATTCAACCGGCCTCTAGCGGAAGTTGTTGAAGGACAATTTTGCGCTTTCGGCCGCGTGAAAGAGAAGCCTAATAATGCGGTGAATAAGATTAAAAAGAAAGGATAATAGGAAGGGTAATAGCCCTAACGACGTCATAGAAATATTTCATTACGTTGAGTGGATCCACGCGGCTAGTGTTGTGAAATGGCACGGATAATTCGCGAAATGGACGTTATTGGGGAGTGAGAATGAGAGAGGGAGAGAGGAAGCGAAAGAAGGAACACTTAAGTATGCGGGATCGTCGACAATGAGATGGTCAGCTACGCCGTCGGTCCCCGTTAAGATCAGAGCGAATTATAACGAGCGTCCCCTGCGGGTGTATTTCGGGAAATGGGAACAGAAAGGCATGACCGGACAAAAGTTTGCGCCGAGGCTTCACACGCCGTTGCGGAATAAAGCGGACGCGACACTCGATGTGACGCGCGCGGCGCTTTGATTGCTTCCGTTACGAACGTTGGCGGAAAACAAGCTGCAAGGTACATGGTGAATCGCTTGCTAAACCGTTGGAAATATCGGTACCGTTTCTGTTAAATTTCGCTTTCTGTATTCGGTTACCTTGTAGTTCTCTTTTTCTATTATGTGTGTGTGCGTGCGTACACCATGTATATAAAACGTATACATACACCATATAGAAAGTTATTCCAATCTATCGCTTTATCGAGACCTGTATTCCACGCGTAACATTTATTATTCTTATATAAACATTTTTTAGATTATATTTATATATAAATAAAACTGAAGAGGGATTTATCGTATTTGTCAACCGTTTGATGTGAGCTGAATGAATATTCCATTGTCAAAATGTCAATCAATTTAGAGCGCCAAATAAATCAAATGTATGAAATTCATTTCTCAACATAGTTTTAAAATATCAACAATATTACAGAATTAGATATAGAATATACTTTAGGATTAAAACTGCTTCGTTTATATTTTCGCGAATTTCGTAATTTAATTTCACTCTAGTTTTTAATTTATCAAAGTCATCTTTCATTTAATATCGATTAAATAATAATTAGCGCACGGCCGTAATCAAAATTAGTTCAATAAATATTTTCGACGAGATCGATCGTTCTCTCTAAGTAGAGGCGGAAATGTCGGCGCATATGCAGAAACGGATGACCTAGATACTTAACGAAATAATTATAATCCTGAGGAAGCGGAACGCGAGCAACGCGACGTTTAAGGGTTAACCCGCGATGGGCTTAAGAGACGGAGAAGCCGAGAAGCGTCATCCATGTCGAATTCAATTTTCTGATATACAAATGCACATATGAACACATACACCTACGCACGCATGCACACATACACACAGGACGAGCAATGCGTTACGCATGCGTTACGCGTGCGTTACGCATCGCGGCTTCGCTTGTGTGTTTAAGTCGAGGGAGGAGCGGGATAACACGCGGGTCAACAGCCTTCGACAACCTTACGGCCTTCTGCAACCTCTCTTTCCCCCCTTCCCTTACTCGCCATCTCGGTTTTCCGATTCTTGGTCGGTCGAGCATCGATGTTCGATTCGCGGTTCTCATCGTTAAATTGACAAGACTTTTCGTAGTAAATGATATCTCCAAGTGTGAAAAAGCAAAACGCTCTTGAAAACGAGAAGAAAACATTTTTTTATGAACAATTTAATTATTGTCCTTTAATTTGTGTGAATGTTTTGTTTTTATTTTGTTTTATAGTTTTTCATAGTATCTCTATATTAAAACGAATAAAATATTGACATTATATTTTATATAATCTACATTAGATAAAACATTGGATATTTTCTTTCGTTAATATTTACTTAATTTCGAATAATCGATAAAGATTTCATTCTCTTAATTCACTAATTGTAAGTTGAACCACGATATGGAGAGGTTTGATGTCATCCTATAATACTATCAAGAAAAACGATTTCGATTTGGGCAATCACATTTCGGTGGCTCCCATTCCATATATATATATAACCGCAGATTTTCCTATATCGCCGAAAATTGGTTGAGCCGTTGCGCTTTTATAGCTAATTTGAGGAGTGCCCTTTTCGATGGGGAACATCTGTCGATGGCGTCGTAGCACCCAATATTGGTCGTAGAAGTTAATGCTGGGGCGTAGAATGGCGTCACGGAATAATAGATGTTTGCACGAGCGTGCGAACACCCTTGTATTGTTCGATTTGAAACGATATGAAATTGAGGGGTTTATATGAAGAATTTTTGAGACTCCCCTTTTTATCTCCATAGATGAAATATATCTATACGACATTCAAAAGTAGCCGGTTAGTAGACTATTGACTCTTGATAAAATGCTGCTACTGCTTTGATATTCAGGCAAATATACTTTTTCTATGGTTATAAATCGATAGCCAGTACGAATCTGGGACACGAGTCTGGGGTGCGGTTGTGCGTGTGATCTAATCAAATTTTGGAAATCGCTATCAAGTATAATTATTTGTACTACAGAATTTGATTAGTCACACGCACAACCGCGCCCCAGACTCGTACTCGTTATCGATCTGTATGTTAACGATTCAAATAAATAAGAAAAAAAACAAGTTAAAGAAATTTTTTATCATGTACTTTATTCTCTTTTTATGCAGAATTTTATTCTCGAAGCAAACTTTTAACTATTCACTTTGAACTGTTTGATATTAAGAGATTTATGAAATTGGTTTCCAGATTTATTTAATAAATTTTAACGCGAGATATTTACGGATTCCATAAATCCCATAAATATATAAATAAATCTAAAAATCTATATAGAAAATATGTAATGATATCTATAGAATGTGATAAATTTTTGTTATCGAAAAATGTTTTTTTATTGCTGTTGCAGCTTCGGGAAGCGGACGGGCGGCAGCGCCAGGCGACCCAACGAATGCTTCGTCCTCGAGCCCTCCGAGATGATTGTCGTAAGTAAATTTTTGCTTCGTATTTGCGATAAGTGAGACGGAAGAAGAAACGATGGAAGAGAATGTCTGGATCGTTAATGCTTTCGAGAAAGTTTAGCCACAAAGGAACGCTTTATTTATTCAGTTTTACGAAAGAGCGAGTTACCCGCGTTTCCGTGCACACGCACACTCAGTTTCAATCAAAACTGGGCGAGCAAGCGTAATTTTTTTTTTCTGGTCGGTTTACCGCGGAACGCGAAACAGTCGTGACGAGCGTTTACGGGATATTCTCCGAGTGCCACGCTACGCGAAATACGGCATAAGCGGCGATATCGCGCGGCGAAAAGACAATGCGCTCCGGACGCTCGTGAGACACAACGTGGCGGACAGTTAATCGATAGTTTCTCTCTTGGTATTATGCTCAGGTTGAGAAGAGTTTTGGAATCCCCCGTCATGCTCCCATAGTTAGCTCGCTTTATTTCGTTTCCAGCGGCGGTCGATTTTCAACGTGCCAAAATTAGGGCAAACTCTTAAACGTGCGAGACTGACGATCACGAACTTCTCGACGAAAGTTGCTGTTGTTTTTTTTTTAAATCGTGAATCTCAGAGAAAGTTTTTTTAAGATACTTGGGATATTTACAAAGTTTTTGCGACAAAAACGTTGCAATTAGTTTTTTCAACTGATTCTATATTCTTAATTTATAAATTTTCAGCCGAATGAAAGAGATGTCGTCAATCGAAATGAAATTTAAACATAATATATTTTAGATTTTATCATTTATTTTTTATAAAAATTTGTTTAACAGATTGTCTCGTTTCTTATCGATTTTGTTTTTATTATGAATAAAGCACTTTTTTATTTTGCACAGAATCTAAAAATCGATTATATACTCGTAACAAGTCTTTATAGAAAATGAAATGAATTAATAAATAATTGAATCAATGTTATGAATTTTCCTGTAAAGGAAATGTGGAATGTCACTGCAATATGTGATATTTTCTTTCGGATCGTGCTTCGCGCGTTTTTATTAAATCATTCTGAAAATGTGAAACGACCATCGCGTAAGCCAGGTTTAATTACGTTTGTAGTTGCAACATTAATTGCAGAGTTGCACGGAATGTTCTGATATTGCAGGTGAACTTTATTCGAGCATACGAAGTTGTTGGAAACGTTGGTTCGCATCTCTAATTACACTATGTGGACAGAAAATTAAGTTTCTGATTCGAGCTGCCATCTGTAACCGCGTTCTAAACTTCTTTACCGACAAATTCCATGATATTACTTGCTGATAGTCGATTAAGTCATATTATGATAATTATATTAAAAAATATAATCAAGAAAAATATTTTGAACTATTTGTACTTAGAAAATTATATTTTTTATTTATTTATTTTTTCTTTTTATGTACAAATTATTTTTTACATTGCATCGTTAATTTTATTGTAGTAAATTATTAAAAGAAAAAATTTTTTTTAGCGTAAAGTAACTTGTAGAATTAAATGACTTTAAAAAATTAATATCCACTTTCTAATCTTTGATTCTTGATTCATAAAAAAGATTTTTTTTGTAAAATTTATTTCAATACTTTTACTTTTATTTTTAATTTAAATCTGTAAAATTTGTAAGAAATATTAGCGTATTATATTAGCGTTACATTAAATATATTCGAGTTGTATGTTTGTATCAGAAGAACATAGATATAGTCTATCGGATTGAACTGGTTTAGTTCTGCGTTCAATATCAATCAGATTCTGCTTTCAATTACGCGCCCGGCTTACTCGAACACAATTCGTATCCGAGCTTTGTATTAATCGACGCACTCTGTACCCAATTTTGCTTTAGCCGGGACAGAGTTTACCAATGGTTACGTCGCTCGGTAATAACCACGCATATTGTTTGCCGCCGCATTGAACTTTGAAATTTCGCAGTGCGAAACACTCGTTTTGCACGAGCTGTTATTTCGAAACGTTAATTATAAAATTTACTCACGTTCAACGGACTGAACACATGGATTCCCGTCTCGTGGGACCTTTTCCATCTATAACCTGATATTTTTTCATGTAATAGAAATAAAATAACGCAGTTTACTATAGAATTTAATAACACAATGTAGTTTGCTTTTTATGTTTATTGTTTTTACGAATATTTTTTACAATTCTTTTACAATATATTTTAAAGAAAAAGCCATAGCAAGCTTATGCAAATCAACGATATCTCTAAAAAAATATTAAGTATTGATGACTTTGACTTATTTAATATTTCTACACGCATGCGAGATGCGAAATATCGACGAAAAGATTTTATCGTAAAGATAGCAAAATTTATCGGTTTTGACAAGTTTCGGACACGTGTTTGCCGATGAATTGAATTTTTTCTTTCATGCAATGTCGGAAAAAATATCGACATCATGGCAGGTGATACACGCGAGTTCACGTGTGTCCTCGGGCGACTCTGTGACCTGTATGCGAATTGGACGTCTGACCTTTAACCTTCCTCCCGTGGCACTTTATCCCTGCCATCACTTCGCTCACACGCGCCACCCGAGAGCTCATTGTGCGGGGTTCCGCCGCTCGACGCTACGGATGAAGATTAATCATCGCCATGGCGTCTACTTGCGGACAAATATCGCACTCTGATGTCTGATGCTAAAAAAAGTATATATAAATGCGTATTTTATATGGATGTTAGAAACTCGGATATATCTTTCTCTCTCTCTCTCTCTCTCTCTTTCTCTGTCAACACCGGATTTTTCGATTAATTATTTTGGACGTATCGTTTCTTAAATGTCAAAGGGCCAGCAATCCGAGTTACAAACAACTGAGAATAATCTTCCGATGATTCTTCGTGCTATTTTATTCGCGCGATTGTTTTCTTTACCTCCTTTTCGTTCAATATTAATTTTACAGTTAGCGTATGAGAGCTATTTGTTTTGTGCTAAGCTAAGAAAATGGTATTAGATACTCGTGGAACATGTTGCTTGGAACGTAAACGGAGCGCTACATCGTGCAGGATGCGGGCATTAATTGCATAACCAAGCACATCTCTCCCGTACATCCTTCGATTCGCGAGCGCGTGCAGTTTTCAAGAAGCTTATCTTCAATGACGAAACAACGTCGGCCGCCTGGAAGCACGGCGGCGTCTGACGTCGCGTTTATGATACCTAAATCGTCTTTGTTCCTTGTGTGAAACTTGATCGCTGATTACGACTCATTCACACGCAGCAGAATGAAAGACACATCGTTAACTGAAAAATCACAGATGAATAACATTGTCAATTTTATTAATGTTTTCTAAAATTTTATTAAGGATAATGTTTAATACATATTTTATATGTATATAAAATTTTTGTTTTGTCTTCCAAACGGATAGAATCTTTTGTAGTCGTTAAAAATTGAACACATTCGTAAAATACAAGAAAGAATGTCATTTCATTAAAGTTATGGGAGTCAGTTATGAGATGATCGACCGATACTCGCAAAAGTTATACATCTGTGCATCCAGGAGAAGTTGCACGAGATTCTCGTTATTGGAGAATAACGATAATTAAAACGAAGCCATGAGCAATTTTCGTTGTCCGTTGTACCGTTTATCGAGAGAGTAAATCGTCATTTAGGTTTGGGAGACAACGTAACTTCCGACACGATGATAACGCTTTTCGCATGCGAACGGAAAGTTATCCCTCAAAGGGAAATCTCCTATTTACGCGGAAAAGTACGCGCGCATCGGCGAGGCCAATTTCCATAGGAAAACCGATAACCGGAGGCGAATCGATCATTACGGCCGCTATATACGGAACGAACAAATACGGAAACTTCGCTTATACGGAGACCAACAAGTTGCAGCTATAATACCGCTGTGCCGCGAATAATCCGCTCAACAAGCATTACTCCGTTTCCGATAGCGTACATTTCTCTCGCTTTGCCGTGCAAACCGTCACTAGTGCTGGGCTATCCGGTGGAAAAATATCCTGTGCGCATGCATTTACAAACGATACAAAAAGTACGTTGATACGCGCGGTAACAGTGATAGACGTAATAGAAAAAATAATTGCGCACGACTGCAGTGTTGCTATAATTTCCGTACCGGTCCGTTCCGTGCATATGCGCACGCTCCGTGCACCCAATTATGCAATTATACAAATTGCGATCTTTGTCCCACGATTATTTCTCACCGACCCAGATGCGAACAAGCCCCGCGCCAAGCCACCTTTCCGTGGATAACTCGGGGAGTAAATCGTGCATTTTCCGAATTCATGTCGATATCAAGTTGTCATATATAGTGTTTCCTTTTTTTTTTTTTAACCAATAGCGGTTGTATCATAAATATATGGCCACGAGAATTTGATATAAATACCCGCGCATTTACGTAAAATTCGTGGCGAACGATGCCACATCCGCCATGCGTAAGCGCCTCTGGATAAGGATTCATTACGGGGATCTCTGCGTACAGGAAGTTTAAGTATAATCGGGGGCCATGACTCGTCATGGTATTACTCAGATTTCAGTTTTATCTTCAGACTTTTAACACCCGCTGCTGTCCACGAAGGGGCTTTTCTGCAGGATATTTATTCGCGACGTGTACTTAGCGTTAAATGTAGCTATTTAATATTCATGCAACGCTAAATGAGATTTTCATATTAAACAAGCAAAACTCGTATAAAGGCGACTTAACTCAATTTTATACAAGTTCCTTTTAAAACTTTGAAGAAATTTATAATATAGAATAATATAATTATAGTAATATATTAAGTTTATATATATATGACAGAATTTTACACCCCCTCCCCCCCCCACACACACACACACACACAAATGTATTGAAGATCTCTATGATGCTTTATCGTTTTTTTATATCATAGTACAACCAAATCCAGCGACATTATTATGATAATTGATTTTTGGTGTAAGATGTGAAGTCCGAGATCCGATCAGATTCGAGGATACGATTTGCTTGGATATATTTTGACATACTTTGGCTGAACCGGGCCGAACTCTAACTGCACCTTCTATCCTTTGACATA